CACTGAATTGAAGTGTATCATAATATTTGAAAAATTTTATTTTAGACTTTGTGCCTAATTAATGATACATTCCATATTGCCCAATTTTACATCCAACAGTGAATAATGATTATGACTTTCTTATGTAAAAACTAAATGGTCCCAATGTATACATTTTCTTTTATTATTTATTAGAAAACAACTAATATTTTACGTAGCTGACTTGACACTTTATGTAGAAAATATAACATTGCATGTGGCTATTATCGTTTTATTATTAAGAGATTTACACTCAAGTCCCCTACTGTATTATGAAAAGGGCAAGCTTTCTATGCTTCCCCTATAGCATAAAACTTATATATTTTCCCTTATCCAACCGTCCATTCTGAATGGAGGGCTAAGATTGGCCCAATCACAATGTCTCGTCTCTGTACTATTTTATTTTTAATTTTTTTCTAAAAACTATTTTGACCCCATATTTGGACGTCCAATCCTCTATTAAACTTGCACTAGCAAAAAATATAAAACAAATACTTTCAATAAAATAAAATGACCAAAATACCTTTGAATATTTCAAGGGGTATTTTGGTCATTATATTTTATTGAAAAATTATTTTTAATATTTTTTATAGGTGTGCCCCAATGATAAGATGATACTTTCCAAATTTCATATTCATACCATTTGTATAAAAAAAATAAGGGAAAGGTTTGTATAGGGCCGAGGCTCTAAACAATCAAATTTGAGCCTACCTCAAAAATTTCACTAAAAGAGGTTGTTTTGATTCCCAAATATCATCAAATTGATCATCTCGACATCAAGAGACATGGACATGAAAAAAAATGGATTTCAAGTTGTGGAAATAGCATATTTTGTAACGAATTTTTTGACCATCAATTTTCAAGATTTTCAAGTTTTCATAGATCTGCTGATCGACACTATTTTTGAAGCTTTAAAATTTATAAATAAATAAAAAACTATATTTTAAGGCTGTCACAAAGATTTTCGGCATTGAAACCAGACTTCTCGAAACTATTTGAAGGTAGGCTCTAATTTGATTGTTTAGAGCCTAGGCTCTATACAAACTGTACCCAAAATAAAATACTTTGAGACACCAGATCTAAAATCAAACGGTAAGTGGCTCTCTTGATCAAAATTAGACTGTTGGATGGTAGGGGAAGCATAGATCTTCTATGCTGTAGGAGAAGTATAGAAACCTTTCCCTTACGAAAATCTTTGTGAATTTTGTTTCTTTTACATTCATTCTTTTTTTTTTCTTTCTTTTTCCCCCTAAATGCCCTTGCTTTTGACCTTCAATGTTCAAAATGGCAATGACTTAGGATTGAAGTGTAACAATTTTTTTTTTTTTACTATGACTTTGGACCTCTATAGTTTGAAGTCTTTCTATAGAGGTCCAAAGTCTTTGTCGCTCATGTCTTTTTTTTTTACTTTGACTTTAGGTTGTCGAAGTTTTAACTTTGGACTTTGAAAATCTGAAGTTCATATTTTCTTAATATTTAAGTGAAGTGATTTCAATATTAAAGATCCAAAGTCATATGTGGTCTTGCTTCTCAAGCCAAGATTTCGAACTTCAAGCTCCGAATTGGAGGCATTTTGGAAAAAAAATTAAAAAGTAAAATACAAAATGGGTATGGATGGTCTCCGCATTCGATAAAAATTGAGATGATACAAAAAAGATTAGCATGCCCTTATGCAAGGATGACACACAAATCGAGAAATGGTCCAAATTTTTTACCGTTTAAAAAAATACAAAATGGATATGGATGTAAATATAAAACTTTGGGGAATTTTTAATAATGTTACTTTAGGGGGGACATGAGCATAAATTTCTTTTATTATTTGTGACTACCAAATTATTTGATTTTATCTTCAATTAATTACCTAAAAGGGAGTGGTTTGTAAAGAGTCTAGGCTCTAAACAATCAAATTAGAGCCTACCTTCAACTAGTGTTAGGAAATATGGTTTCAATATTGGAATTCTTTGTGATAGCCTTAAAATATATTTTCATCTTTATTTATAAAGTTTAAAGCTTAAAAATAGTGTAAATTGACAGATCTATGAAACCTTGTAAATCTTTAAATTTGACTGTCCAAAAATATGTAGCAAAATATACAACTTCCAAAACTTGAAATCTATTTTTTTCTCATCTCCATACATCTTGATGTCGAGATGATCAATTTAAAGATATTTGAGCATCAAAACAACCTCTTTTAGTGAAATTTTTGAGATAGGCTCTAATTTGAATGTTTTGAGCCTCAGCACTATATAAACTTTTTCCTACCTAAAATATCCCCAAGTACATAAGTAGTATATTGGAGAGGAAGGATATTTAGTGTTCAAAACTATTAAGTAGGTTTACACGAAGGGGATTTCTGGTATGATGTGCACTGTTCAATCGCATTAAATGATGCAGATGTCAGGGCGCCCATGATAACATATACAGGTCTATTTATGTGAACTTTTCCTATTGTAAATATAAAAAGCCCCATGTTAGAGAATTCAACTGCCCTAGCCACAAATAAGGTGTTGCTTAGAGGGAGGGCGAAGGGTATGTCGTGTCCTAACATGCTTTAGGACACATGAGAAGGTTTATGACCATAGGTATGATGCTAAATTAATCATTTTACTTTCATTTAGCTTATGAAGGCGTATATTGTACTTAAAAGGAATTTCGTCATACAAATGACTTAGAGATTCACTTTAGAACTGATAGAAAATTGGCAAATTCGTGTGGAACTCCAGGGTTTCTGCCCGAGTATAGAAATACGGGAGCATGTAATCCAATTGAATATCTTGTAAAATCCTCACTATTATTGAATAAAACATTTATAAGCCACACTGTGAAGCTATAGAAGAGAGTGATTGAACGACAACTAAGACATAAAATGAATATATCAAAAATCAATTTGGTTTGATGCTAGGAAGGTGGATAATTGAGGTCAGTTTCCTACTTAGGCAATTGACGAGAAGTTTATGGAGAAAGAAAGAGACCTCTGTATAGTATTTATTTATTTAGAGAAAGCACACACTAAAGTAGATAGAAAGTTAATTTGATAGGTGTTGAAAAATAAAGGAGTCTCTAGAGGATATATTGATGTTGTGAGAGATATGCATGAGGGAGCACTAATTAGTATGAGAATAGCTAGTGGAGAGACAAGTGAGTTTTCAGTGATAGTAAGCTTACATCAGGGAATAGTATTGAGCTCATATCTCTTTGTTTTGATTATGGATGAGTTAATTAAGCATCTACCAAATGAGGTATTGCGGTGTATATTATTCGCGGATTATATAATTTTTATTGATGAGAGTAGAGGCAGCATCAACATAAAGTTAGAGCTTTGGAGGGATGCTTCAGAGGTTTTAAAATTAGCCAGCATACGAAAGAATACATAGACTGCAAGCTTAATAATAATAGGAATAGAAGCAAGTACGTAGTTAAGAATGATGGCTAAGAAATACCTAAATGAGACTATTTTATCTTGGATCGATAATCTAGGAGAATGGAGAGATTGGGGAAGATATCACATGTAGAATTACAGCTAGGTGGGTGAAGTGGAGATGTGCAGTTGGAATTTTATGTGATCACTGCAATGCCAATGAAATTGAAGGAGATATTTTGTAGGACTGTTGTAAGACCAACCATGCTTTATGAGACATAATGCTGGTGGTCAACAAACAACATATCTATAACATGAGTGCAGGTGAGATGAGAATGTTGAGATAGATGAGTGGCAAGACAATAAATGATATAATTCTTAATGGATAAATGCAAAGGGATTAAGGGGTGGTTCCAATAGGTGATAAGATGAGAAAAAGTAGACTTAAGTGAGATATATGTAACACATACTTAATATAACACTAATCAGAAAGGGTCAATTTGGTTCAAGTGGAAGGTTCTAAAAAAGCAAAAAAAAAGTTCAAAAGAACATTGATAGAAGTAATGAGAAGATATATGATGACCTATGGTCTTATTGAGAGTATGATAGATAAGAATGTTATAATAGGATTTGGGTAGCTGACCCAAATGGTTGGGATAAGACTCGGATGGTGATGATAATAATAACTGCATAAAACATTTCCATATACCATGTCATACCATAACCATATCCATTTGAATAAGAACACTCTTCATTTGGATATGTCGGTTCACTCATATCCCTAAAATTTCTCGTAATGGATCTTTCTTTAAGTCCCATCTTGCCATTGTGTTTCGACGTAACCACTATTGAATTTTATATATCCCATTATATAAGCTATTTGTACATAGGTGTGTGTGTGATTTCTATAAGGTGTCAATTTTATACTAAAAAAGTAAGGTGCACCTCAAAGATCCACGCAAAATGGTTACTTTAGTTTCAAAAATTGTTATGATAGCTAAAAAATGTATTTTATGCTGAAATTTAAATCTCCAAAAGTATTAAAGATCATGCAGATCTATAAGCACTAAAAAATCTTAAACTTGGAGGGTCTAGAAACGCGTTGTGATGCACTATTTTTAAACCTGCCGTTACATAAAGGGTATGGTTTTCATAAGGCTGCAGTCTTAAACAATCAAAGTAATGTGCTTATCTACACTTATTTTGGTATACAACAGTCTTAGGATAGTTTGAGAATATATTTTTATCTCTAATTATAAAATTTTATATTTTAAAAATGGTTCAATTCAAGTAAATCTATAGAATCATGTAATTCTTGAAAATAGACTGTCCAAATAATGTGTTGCAAGATGTACTATTTTTAAAATTTTAAATCTCTTTTTTTTTTTCTCTCTCTGTCTATAAATCTCAACATTGAGATGATCAACCGATGTTTTTCCAACATCAAAATAAATTTTTTAAAAGAATTTTAGAGATACATTTTAATTATATATTTTAATGTATTAACCTTATTTATATATATATATATATATATATATATATATTTAAATCCTTAGTGATTTTTGAATTCCTCACCAGAGAAGAAGCCTAGCCTTATATAAACTTTTTCTTTTTGCGTAAATGATTTTTCGGCATAAATATCTCGGCCAAACCAAGCAAACGTACCATCGCTTTCGATCTTAATAGCCGATCTCCATTGACCCTGTCTAGTTTCAATTTTAAAAATCGAATCTCAATTCTCCATTAATCATATGCATGTGCATAGAGAACAAGTGCTTGAAATATGATCAATCAATTCCCCATCTGAGCTGGTTTTTCTGGGGCGATCGATCAGGAAGAAGCTCGGATCATCTCCCATGTCTCGAATTGCGGAAATTCTTCTCTTCTCAATCCTCTTGCTACACTTGCCATCAGGTCTCTCTCTTCCTGGCTCTTCTTTCTTTGTAACATGAATTGGGCTCTATTTCTTTCTTTCTTTATTTCCTTCCTTCCAAGGTTTTGGGTTGATCTGGGTCTTTAAATTTGCTTCCATGGCTTGGTTCTTTTGTCTTTCCCGCGTGAATTGGGGTTCTCTTCCAGTCTCTTGTTCTTTCCAAGGATTTGGTTAATTTTGCTGTAAGAACTCAACGGGGTGTATTCATTAATCCATGTTGTGAAATGATTTTGAATTTTCGATTTGGTGTCAATGTAATCAATTCATGTTTCTATTTTTATTAGTTGCTCTGTTTAAGAAAAATGGGGATCTTTTAAAGGATGAAGGGATTTTGAGTGTCCTGGCGAATGGGGCAATTTGGTATTGTTTTAGCTTTAAGGTACAATTCTCACTCGCTGACCCATTGATTGGTAGAGTAAGGGTCAATCTTGATATCCACCTGGTAATGGCAATAAATTTCCATCTCTCTCTCTGTCTCCTCCTCTCCATAGGAATTTTACACGTAGTTATTATTTCAAAAAATGTTGAAATAAATTCTGGTTGGTTCCAGAGGGAACATAATTGATGGATTCATGGTTTGAAGCCCAAAATTAATAGAATTCTGGTTGACTTCGATTTAATATAGTCTGAGAAGAGGAGTTCTGGTGTGGAGTTATATTAAGTAATGTCCAAAGAGGGAATGTTGTGATTTATAACAGTTTCTATAATTGTTTATAATAGTAGTTTTTGTTTTCTTTTTATTTTTTTGGGTGGTTCAGTGGTTTAAATCGAACTTGGATTTTAGCTTTGCTAAATTCAACAGTTCACCAATCAAGCCCCAGCTCGATTCCCTTTATAATAGTATTTTCGAATTAATTAATAAATGAAAAAGTGTTGAAACCAACAGTTCTTGATTGAAAAATTTCCTTATGAGAAATCTCATAATTACATAGTCTGAACGGATACAATGCTTAAATTGCTAAATTATACAGATGTCCGAATTAGAAGAGAAATGCATTTCATATTAGACTTTTTATAATAGGGAAATAGGTGGTTGGAGTATACTTTGACTACAAGATTGGAGTAATATGAGTGAATCAATAAAATACTGCAGTTAGAACAACGAACTGTTAGTTGATTATGTCAAAAGGGAGAATATTTTGTTCTGGACACTAATACTTTTTGGTAGATTAAGTTTTCTTTGTTAATTACAGGCCAATGAGAAAATAGACAGAGAATGAGCATCACACATGCTGATTTGGATGGACCAAATTTTGGGAACATGTCAGTTTTGTTCTCCAGCCTTGTAATGAAAATTGCCCAACTTGGTCTGCTTCACTATTTCATGAACTCCCTTAACCCATCTTCTTAAGGAAATGCCACTAAAATGGCAGCAGTTTAGTTGTTCGAGTTGTTCTGCAGGCTGAATGGGGCTTTATTTTTCTTTGTTACCCATGTTTATATTTGCCATGAATTTCTTGTATCTTCCAATGAAGGCTTTTGCATTTATCCAAGAAATACTCTTAGGAATGATTCTCATATCATTGTTTCAATGGCAGGCACACTTTCATCTAGGATTGTTTCCTTGGAGTCAGTTATGATTTTTAAAACCCATGAGTGGTTTGGTGCTAAACCAAATATTTACTTTCAGTGTCAAGGGGAGAACAAAACTTTTCTACCCGATGTGAAAGATAAGCACTCGTTGTATACTTTTAAAGGCGAAGAATCTTGGCAGGTTTGTGCGAATCTCAGTTGGCTATATTGTTTAATTGCATTCTACAAACTTTGTTCAAATGATGAGCATTTATCTTTTGTAAGCTAATATGTTAAGTGCCATGTAAGGGAATAGTTGTTGTATATGAGTAAATCTTACATGGACTGTTAGAGAAGGTTTAGAATGTAAAATAATATGTCATAAATGATGAACATCTGGTACTTGTATAGATAGTGCGGAACAAACTGATTTAAGTAAGTTATAGGTGTCATTACCCATGCTTTTCCATTTTTGTAGAAATATACGATGTTTCTCTTATTCTGATTAAATAATTTTATTGAATTGTATTGCTAATGATCCAAATTATAGTTGACATATTGACACAGGCAAGAAACTACCTAGGTCTAGACTGCATTCTGTACACAATTTTCAATTGATAAATTAAATATTAAAAGTTAGAAATTTTATTAAAAATTTTAAAATCCAATATCCTACAAAACACAACAAAAAAGAGTTACGCAAAAACTGGGCAAGAAGAAAGTAGTTATTTATTACTTAATTTTTATTTGATAAATAAATAATTTTTATATTGCTTTAAGGAGTAGTCTATGTAACATTAATCCCTACTAAAGAACATAATGAGGCACATTGGGATAACCTATAGCAATAAAAGGGAGATGCCGAGCTGATTTTTTGTTCATACAAATCTTTATTTACAATTTCACACTTTACAACATCTAATCACCTGCTATTTTGGGAAATTTGCGCTTTACAATATTTCAACTAAGATCTAAATCAATCATTGTCTTGGCCTGTTGTTTCCCTTTCAAGTTATTAGGAGCTATCTCTATGAAGGGGGAATTGAGACCCCAAAAAATGGGGATCGAGATCCCATTGAGATCCCTCTCTAGGAGTACTAAAGAGAGATCCTAGAGTGGTATCGACACTTAGGTTGGGCGACACTGGTCTAGACGATGACTCTCTATCACCTGTGAAAAACTAAAATGCTGCATGACATATATAATTCAAAAATATTTCTAACACGACCATTCTATATATCGACAACCCCTCTTTACAGGTGTTGCTATATTCTTTCATACACTTTGATAGTACAATACAACATGAAAAGCATACAAGATTGACACCTAAATACTAGGTTGCTGCCACGTTCTGCAATGGCTACAGTAAACAAACACAAAACAATGGGAAAACATACTGTGAGAGTTACGTTCAATCACATCTAAAGACTTGGTGCTGAGTCTCCTATCAGTAGTGGAAGAATGTGACTTGGCAATATTCTTTCTCTAACTTCTTTTGGGGAACTGCAACCCTGGGATGTGACAGTAGAGAAGAAAGCTACACTCTTCTCTCTTGGGGTTCCTCCTCCCCTCGGGTTTCTAAGAAATTTGTACGGTGAGAGATGTATTTAATCTGTCTGTCGTTCTTCAAATCTAGCCCTTAGAATATGAAAATCGTAATTAACCATCGTCTTTGTTGTCCTTATCCCACACACTTTCAAATTCCTATTCACAAAGCATTTCATTTTAAGAATTCAAACCAGTTTTCTATTACCACTAGGAATTGGAAAGCCTTTCACAATGATAAATCCAGAGGACTCCTACATAAAAATATTTCTAGTGACTTTGTAAAGTATTCCAAAGGTTTGGGAAACGAAGGAAACCTCAAACACATGGGGTGTCAAATCCTATTAGTATTCGGAGGGCTTATTAGAATTGACATGGGACCTATGGCTAGTGTGTCCTTCATCTTAAGACCTCATGGCCACATGGAACCTTGGCCAATGGGCCCCATGTGACCCACTTAAGGGATGTGGCCACATGTGTCCAGCATGCCCTGATCCATTTAGGTTTCTATGTATTTTGCAAAGGACAAATTTATTATATTAGTCTCTGGAGTGGATAAAAAGATAATCCATGCAGAGCCTTCTCTCGTTTCTGAACAAAGCAGTCAAAATTTTGAGGTGACTCACAGAGAAAAAGGTATTTAAAATATTGGGAGAAACCTAAAAGAACATACATATGATGTGATGATGCATCAACTTATAAGCTGGAAATCCATGTTTGTCAAACATGTAAACACACTCTACATCTCAAATATAACCTAACAAGACCCATGTCCCATATCTCTCGCAGGGGCTCATAATTGGCCTATAAAAGTTAGTCGATTACAAGGCCAATATGGATTTTAGGCACCCATCAAAGAATAAGTTATGTCAATCCAAACATGTGCACTATTTAACGCTTGACGATGTACAGCGCTATGTTCTAAACTTAGTTCTTGCCAAGGGTGGGGCCCTCTCCCTACTGACTCACCCAAAATTGAGAATGGCCTGGAGCCTTGGCCGTAGTATTGCTGAGCCTCATCTTGAGGTCTCTGATTCCATTCTCACCAAAGGGCAGGGGCCCAAATCCCCATTGACTTGCTACTTCTGAGAATGGCTTGGGGCCTTGGCGGTAGTATTGCCGAGCCCCATGGTGAGGTCTCTAATTCCATTCTCACGAAAGGACAAGTGCCCAAATCCCCACTGACTTACCACTTTTCTGCGAATGGCTTGGGGCCTTAGAGTTAATATTGTCGAGCCCCATGGTGATGTCTCTGACTCCATTCTCACCAAAGGGTAGGGGCCCAAATCTCCACCGACTTACCACTTTAAATATATGCTAGTTTAAAAAAAAAAAGCGTAGAGGGCCTTCTCACCCATTGACTTACCCAAAAAAGAAAAAGAAAAAGAAAAAAGGGATCCACTCTCAGCGCATGCATGCATAGACGTCATGGGTCTTTTCCCTAAAGTGCGGCTACAATGTGTGCATGCCATAGGGGTGTTACACCAAGGTTCTGGCCCTTGCCATCATAGGCATCCAACCTTGATGTAGGAGTACCCTTTCCTCTTGGCTACTGACCATTGGGCTCACTCTGACCTTAATATGGGATGTCCCAATTATCTTCCTCGACATGATGTATTAGGGTTCATGCCCCTCTAGAGCCTAGGGTCCCTGGGGTTTTGAGTCAATCGGCCTTGCTCTCAGATTGCAAAGCTTCGTGAGCCAATGGCACCCATGCCATCTCACTCTAAGGTCCTCATGACCCTAAAGTGCATTGGTCCCTCATGAACCAATCCATACCCCATTTGAACTGAGGTGTCTCACCTTACTTCACTCGATGTTTAAAAAGAAAAATAGATTAGTGATCCGGATTCCCCATCCCGAAAACCTGTCCGGATCAGTGCATCGGCCCGATCTAGCCTTAAAATAATTTCAAAAAAGTATTTAAATATTACTTTTTGATTTTCCCAAAAAAACTAAAATGGGGGTAGTGCATTATGGACTTTCAATATTTGGAAAAAGTACATGAATATTGAGATGTTGTTTCTAGTCCTAGTATCTAATTAATATTAATTTTGATACAATACGTCTTTAAAATTTTTTATACTCATTTTTGTGACTTTTATTGAAGAATGAGGGAGAGTAAATTTTGTGATTTCTGATAACAATATTATGATACTAACATGCCTTTCCATAGAGAGAGGACAATTGATTTCATAACATTGATGTGGTTTATTGAGAGCTGAGGTTTGATTTTGTGCTTGGTTGGATAGGGTGTTGGGCATTGTGTAACTATATCCCTAGTTGGTATTTTACTACTTAAATTATCCATAACTCTATGATAAATACATTTTCTATAAAAACATTTTTATCTTTTGAAAAGACTATTTAAATGGTGTATGTTTTCAAATAACTTTAAAAAACTCATTTTATTGAAGAACATGAAATATTACTGATAATTTGTCATTTGTTAAAAAAATTATTAAAAGCAAGTTTTAGAAATTTCTTTAAATTCAATTTTATTTGTTATTTTTGTCAAATTAGTGATGGCTTATTGTTATATGGGTCATTAATATTACTTGTTTAGTTGTTTACTTGCACTATGAATTGAAAATTTAAATTTCATATTGCTTTAAACTCAATTTTATTTGTTATTTTCTCAAATAACAAGCACAAAATCAAACGGTAGATTGTAATAACAAGCACAAAACTCAAAAAGTAACGAAGCAAAATGCAGACTATAGGCATGATACGGTTTCCACTTATTTTGGCTAGGTTTGTTTTATCGCAAATCGGGATGTGATGTGAAACTTACAAAAGTTTTTTCTATAAAAGACAACTAATGTTGGGATACAGTTTCCCCTTCTTTTAGCTAGGTTTGTTTTATCCCATATCGGGGATGTGGGTGAAACTTGGGGGAGTTTCTCTATAAAAGACAACTAAAGTTAGGGTTTATACCCCATCACACCAAGGGGCCATCCACATGGATGTGTAGGTCTCTTGGTGAATAATTTTTTTTTAAAAGTAATAACATTAAAAATGATTTATAAACAAGGAAATTGCTCAATTGGAAAGGGCGTGAATGAAAAAAACTTCAAATAAATAAAATTTGTTAGAAACAAAAAAGTAAAAACAGGGGAGGTGGCTGGTTCCTTGAAGGAACTAACTAATTCCCGATATTTTGGTGGAACTGGGATGCCCCCTCTGGTTCCTGATCTGGATTGACCGGTTCCACTTATTCAGATCGCCATTTTTTTAGACCTTGATTTCACTAATAGCATGAATGCTTACATGGGTTCATACAAGAGCTAAGGTCTTTTAAAGGCACAAAAACCCAACATCACATGTATTTCATTATTTCTTTTGTTGTAACAATTTACTCTTATAAAGGAATTTCAATATAATAACTCGATTCTGCGATCACATTGCAAAGCATGTGCTGTTGGCTACTTAATAATGAATGGTAAATATGGCTGTCTTCCAATAGGTTCTCTTCTACAGTTTAAAAAGTTCATAAACATAAATATGGGGATCCTTCTTTTTGAAGTTTTATAGATTACCACATTTTAGCTATTTTTTTGCTCCGCTCTTTCTCAAGCTTCAGACATTTAGCATGTCAGCTTTCTAATCTTAGATCCCTATTTTATGTATGGCTCTAATCATCTTCAGTCCAAATTTGTATTTTTTTTTCAGCAGCGTCTTTATGTAACAATGTAAAGATCAGGGCAGTTGTTCCTTTCCTTTTCAATGGATTGCTAACTATCATCCACTACATAATAACTAAAACAAAATAGATAATCTGATCTAATTCATGTAATAAGTTCAATCATCACGAATTCATGTAGTTGACTCATAGATGGCTTAGATTGACTTTCTCGGCTTTAGTTGTTGTAACTATACCATATACCAGTTCCATGTTGTATGTGGCACACCAATGAAATCTACAATCTGTTTTTAACTATGGATTCTGGATTTTAACCTAACTTGCTGACATGTACTATGGAGGTTTCACGATCCATCATCATGAAATGGCACTGATCTTGTCCTTTGTGCTGTATACATACAACACTGGTGTATGGTATACTAACCCTTAGTTATAAGATCTGTAGGAATAGTTCCTACCCTTGGAAAGAAAATTGTTTACTCCATAACTTAAAATGATGGCTTTACAAAGGGTACTCTGAGTCATAAAATATGTCTATCTTGACATACAATAAACCTAGACAAGGCACAATATGAAAAGATGTGCATTGAACATTTCTTTTTCCTTATAATTTGTTATTGATTGTTACACAGCAAAGATAATGGATGGCCTCCTCTTTTTCATATCCTCGTGCATTCATCAGAAGCCTTTTGCATATTGCATAGGCAATAGTTTATGTGAATTTCTTGGGCTTACATACATAAGCACTGGGTGTTTAGGGAAAAAAAAAAATGGTTTCATTTTTCTTTCGTTGTTTTACCTTCAGCCTCTAACAGAGCTTCCGGATAAGAAATGTAAGAGGTGTGGGTTATATGAGAAAGACAAATTATCTGATGATACTTTCGATGAGTGGGAGCTTTGCCCAGATGAATTCAAGGGTCCAGAAGGCAGATACAGTCACTTTAAGGATAAAGAGTTCAATGCTACATTTTTGTGTCCTGAGTGCAGACCACTTGAATCTGGTGAGTTTTTCAGTGGCATCACTAAGGTCAACAATGAACAATCTTACTTTTCTGCATTTTATTTTTCTTTTTTTGTGTTTCACTGTGGTTGACCCCATTATAAATGCAGCAGTACACCATATGTTAGAGGTGTATGTTATGTGGTACACCACAGGGACTTCCAACATCCTTTCCTGATGATGGATGTTGGAGATTAACTGTTCTCAGGGGTATGTACATCATATGGGATGATGGTTAATCTTCACCATCCATCATCAGGAACAGATATTGGCACTGTTCAGTATTGTAAACCATATTACCATGTCCTGCATTTGTAAAGGTATACTACCCCATTACATACGAACACATATTGTGGATGGTGTATGGCCTTCTCTTTTACACACCAGCACGGTCTTATGGTTTTTGCAGGTTCTAGTGGAAGTTCTACTCCAAGTAGACGAGAAACAGACAAGAGTAACCATCAGTTATTTGTAGCAATCTTTGTTAGTATTGTGGTTCTGGGTGTATCTGTTGTTGGAGCTATGGCTCTATACAGGTATTGGCGTAGGAAGAAAAGGGAAGAAGAACAAGCGCGATTTCTCAAGTTATTTGAAGAGGACGATGATATAGAGGAGTTGAGTCTTGGAAATGTGATTTGATGAATTGGTCTCTGAAATTTTGGTTTGTTCTCTGTATAGATCTGTGTAAAATCTTCTTTCTGTAATATAATGTCACAAATGATTTTGAATACCACATCATGAGGTCGTAATTTTATGGACAGCATGCACAGGAGAAGCATGGTATTGCTCTTTTGTCAGTCCTGCTTAAAGTTCATTTTGATTTATGTGAACAGGTTCTTTTGTGTGTATGCGTGTGTGTGTGTGTGTGTGTGAGAGAGAGAAAGAGAGAGAGAGAGAGAGAGAGTTTTGTTGGGGCAAAGAATTCCTTTAGCTTCTCCCTTTTTCCTTGACCTCCCATGCATTTCTAAAACTGTTCTAAATGTCACTAGAACTCATAAAATACGGTTTACTAAAGGTTTTGAAGGGGTTCTTTAAAAAAACATTCAATGGCTTTATTATTCAGGTTCCATCCAAATTTAAAGCGCTTGAAGACACCTTTATGTTGCTTTCAATTTTCACAAGTATTCTTATCACTCGTGGATTGCGAGCAATGGATGAGAAATCTGATGACATCTATATGGAGAACCTCCAAGCACAACGGATTTGGCGTCCCTAGGTCTTGTGCTTCATTGTCATTAAGTTCCTTTTCATTTTCTTAGTATTGCATCATCTTTCCTTGAAAAAGAAAACATAATCTCACTTGTTTTTCAATACACACCAATTCATTTTTAAAGGATAGTCCCTCTAAAGACTTTCCCTTTGTGCTCTTTCTTCTCCTCTGGCGAGTTGATCACTGGGTCTAAATCGTTGATATATTGTTCTAGTAATCTCATTCAAGGAGATGTCAGCATGATACCTTTGGTACAGTTCTACCAAGGAGTCACCCAGTAGGTAATTACAATCTCCAATGGCTGATCTATGTTGAAGAAATTTGGGTTTCAGTTAAAAGTAGTTTCGTTTTTCTCATCTCAGTAGCTGATATTCAAAATTTGATGTCTAACATACCTAGTAATGTTTCTGAAGTTCATTGGCTTGTAAAAAAAGTTCTAAACGGCAAACCAGATCCCATTGACTCGTAAATACATGGAAACATATGATGCATAACAAGATTGATTATTGAATAATGAAATCCTGGTGACTTAACAAAGAGACATATCGATGAGGGATCAAAGAGCTTAAAGAAAAGATTTTCCGATTGTATTTTTTTCATTTTAATGCTTGTTTTCAGTAGAAGAAATAAAAAGGAAAGATCTCTTAAATCTTTCTTGGATTGATTTCTACACAAAGTGTCATCAGTACCTTTGGCTTTCCATATGTCAAGGTTGTATATTATGTTGATATGTGATCGTTTGCAGAGAGTTTGACAGTCTCTGTTGATTCTGAGTCTGGGCCTTCTCTCCATGGATTTGATCCCACCGTTCTTCTCTGCGCAAAGAAAGGTTGTTGCTTGAGGGCCCAAAATCTGCTGCATTGGTAAGCACAGTAACCATTGCAAAAAACTTTTTTAAGTGTTATAAAGAGCCGAACAGATATGGAGAAAAATTAGTGTGATACCATAGAAGATAGAGGTGCTTATAGAGAAGTTATCAGCTGCGGAATTTGCCCAAGAAGATGTAACCAGCATCCTAAAATACTATTCCCTATGACAATTTAACTTGAGCGAAGGCAGACCTTGAGGAAACTCATTTTGTAATATTGACAGCTTGAAGATGGTCAAACAATGTTTGTGGTTTTTCTATTCTAGGTGTGGAACTTGGGGATTCTCAGAAGATGGAAGAGGCAATCGTTGAATTCTTCTCACAATGCTTCCACCTCGGAACCTAGGCTACCTTGCTTCTTTGAGAATTTACCTTTTACTAAGCTGAGGATAGTGTTAAAGACTTGGAAAAGGCATTTGATATGGAGGAAATTGAGGAATCAATCTTTAGTCTCCTAAGAGACCGAGCAGTTAGACCAGATGACTTTCCTATGTGCCATAGACCTAATAGCTTGGTTTAGCAAAGAAGAAGATAGGGAAAATCCAAAATCAGACAAAGATGAAAAAAAAAGAAATAAAAAGAGCACTTGTTGCTTTAGGGTTATGAATAAAAGTTTATAACATAACATCCATTATGCTTGAGTACATTCCTTATATAAAAAAAACCCTGAACAAAGCTTAATCCTGACCATCCATCTAATATAATCATGGCTCTTTATTATAGAAGACTTTGAAGTGATCAAAATGTATGAAAGGCTCTAGAAATTACTACTTATGTTCCTAAGTGAATAAAAGACTCAAGAAATAAATAAAAAACATAAAAAGATAAATTCAATGTCTATCTTGTCCTTTTTCGGTTTCTCATGAAAACTTTAAGTTTGTGTCTCTTATCTAAATACTCGAAAGTAATATTCTGAGTTGCATCAATCCCCATTCCTCAAAGAGTTCACCCTTGAAGTCGGCAGCTCGTCGTTGGAGGTATCACCATCATATGGAATGAGATGCTTGACACTAAAAACATCAAAAGTGTGAATTTGGCTGGGAAGCTTTAACTGATTGGTATTTTCATTGATCTTTTTCAAAGTTCTGAATGGTTCTACCTTGATGAGACTTGAGATCAAGGTGTACATTTTACTGCATTCCCCATTGACATTGGATTAGCAACATTTTGGGTCCCTTGAGAATTGCCATTCTTGTAATACATAAGCACAACATACTTGTCCTGAATACATCAATGAGTACTCTGCCATGAATTTTGAAGTGGCTCAAGATTATTGATACATTAGCCTCGTGATTTCCTTCAACTCACACGATGTTTAGATATGAGGGTTCTCCACTCCAAAAAAAAAGAAGAAAAAGAATGGTTGAACCTGAATTCCAACATTAGGAATTATATACGCAACCATTTGATGGCCACCTTCTACATTGAAGTCATTAGCAAAACACTCAAAAAGAACATATGGTCAAATCTTTAGGGTCATACTTCACATGATACTTTATATTCAGATAAAGCTCCAAGAAGAACATTATCATCATTACCTCCATAAACACCATTCTTCTTGTTACTTTTTTGGGGACTAAGATACTAGTTACCTCAAAGATTTTGGGAACAACTCCTTGAAATCTACCTTGTTGTTCATCAAGAGGAAAAACATCCACACAATCCTCTCCAATGGTAGGATCTTCTTTTTTTATCATCTTTACATATGGAATCAACATTAAAGCTATGATTACCTACTTCTTTCTCAAAACCCAAATGTTCATCCAGCTACTTGTCAAAGATCGATGGTCAGTCCCAATCCACAATATACTGATCTTGAGAACCATTTGATAAGCACAAAGTTTCTCCATGGTTGTCGGCGAATAGAATTTCATAACACTCCATGATCTCAAACTTGATATTGGTTTCACCAGTTCTGCTATCCCTATCCTTATGATCAACTAAATCTTTCTTTTGAACTCGATTATAGAAGGGATTTATGGATTTTTCATTTGCCTTGATCTCATGCTTCCGAATGGGGCTTCCATCTGCGCCAAACACGGAGTTAGGGTTTCAAACAATTTCCTCAGATCTACAATCCCTTCTCACGAACTGACATCAAATGCTTCTAAGGTTGCTGCTATTCCCCTTTTTTCCTTGGTGTGGAGGCATGGTTGTTAATCTAGGGCATAAAAATTGATGCTATAGTACCATGCTATAGTAAAGTACTATAGTACCATGCTTACTGGTCGTTGGGTTCTGATACCAACCTGATGCAAACCTAATAACTTGGGCTAGGGTTTAACAAAGAAGAACATATGGACGATCTAAAATAAGAGAAAGATGCGAAAACCAGAGATAAAAGGAGCATTTGCTGCTCTACGCTTTTAAATAAAATTTCATAACATAACATTCATTATGCTTGAGTACATATTTGATATAAGAAAACCTTATATCGTACTTAATCCTGGCCATCCATCTAATATAATCATAGCCCTTAATTATAAAAGTATTTAAGTGAGTGAAATGATATAAAAGACTCTAGAAATTATTACTTATACCCCTAAGTAAATAAAAAGCGTCAGTAAATAAATAAAAGACATAAAATGACATATGCAATGGCTGATTTGTCCTTCTGTGTTTCATTTTTTAAACTTTAAACTTCTCTATCTTATCTAGATACTCGAAAGTAATAAGGTGATACAAAGAGGGTTATTAATAAGGTTAAAGAGGGTTATTAATAAGGTGATACAAAGCCCCCCAAACATCCTTCATTAAAGATAGGCTGATCATGAACTGAATTTTCGTTACCCAAGAGATCATTCACACTACCAGAAGTATGGAAGAAGGGAATTTTTCTCAAGATAGATTTAAAAAAGATGTATGATAGAGTAGATCAAGACTATCTAGATAAAGCTATGTAACTAAGGCACTTTGGGAACTGATGGAGGACGTAGATTCGAGACTATTTATCAATGCCTCATTTCTCTGTTATCATCAATATCAGAACTTGTGGTTATTTTAAGGCTACTAGAGGACTAGGGCAAGATGATCTCTTGTCTCCTTTTCTCTTCACTTTGGTAGCTGAGTCCTTTAGTAAAATGCTCTTAATTGTATGCTTCTAACAATAAATGGCCCAATCAACACATATATGCAATATATAGATGACATTCTATTTCAAAGGAGAAAATGAGAAAATTCACAACCTTTAGTTATTCCTGAATGCTCTAAGGTGGTGTTAGGAGCCAAAATCAATATTCAAAACGGTTTGATGGGAATTAATTGCTAAGAGGAAGAAGTTAGAACATACTGAATAGATGGAGTGTCAGTTGGAAAGTGTACCTACAAAATACTTGGGTGTTCCTGTAACATATGAGATACTGCCTTAAACATCATAGAGCCCAATTGTATAAAGATTTCAATGAAAGCTTGATCGCTAAAAGAGTACATATCTCTTTATGGTGGACATATTACACTCATCAAGGCCACTCTCTCCAATATTTTGGTGTATTTGTTTTTGCTTTATAAGGTACCATCGTATTTACTGAAATTGTTGGAGGGTTTAATAAGGATTTTTTTTGGAGTTGCACACAAGAAAAAGGAATGTTCCACATCTTGAGATGGCAAGTGGTATGTGTCCCAAAACAAGAGGGTAGTCTTAGCATACACAAGCTTAAGGCAGTTAATGAAGCTTTGT